TGCCCAGGGGAGCCCCAATCCCACAATCTGCAGATTCCCTGATCTCCCAGCGGTGCCGGCACGAAGGCTCTGTCCCTGCCCCACACTGGAGGCTCTGGGTAGCCAGGCTCGGGCAGGGAGAGGAGACTGGGACGATTTCATAACTGAAGAATGTTGTTCCTTGAGGGAGAATCAAACCACCCTTCAGTTTTGCTTCACCTACAGCACGAGGGGGGGAGAAAAAAAAACAGCTCAGTCGCATTCTTGTGCGGCAGATCCCCCAGGGTAGGAACATACTTGAGCTCCTACCCAGAAAGAGAGAAGGGGAAAAGGAGAGAGACAAAGCAAGGCAGCAAAAATCTGTTTTGCAGCTTGGATTTTAAGTCACCCAGGATCTGAGTGCTGCTCTCGTGGGAGTCGGTGGGGACCCCATCCTCCCTCAGCAGCTCCAAAAAGCATCTCCCCTTTGCCTCACAGACTGCCTGCACTCCTTTCACTGAAAAGGATCGATTTTAATGCCTTCGGGAAATCCTTTCCAGGCCCAAATGTCGCTGAGGCTGCCTCAGTGTCTGGGCTGCCCTTGCTGCTGTGGTAGCTCATTGCTCATTCAGGACTAGGCTTGAGCTGTGATTCAGCAGTGCCAAACTGTCACCAGACCCTGGTCCCGTTCCGAGCCGTGTTCTGATATCTCATCTTAAACCAAACTCTCTTTCCCCATCAGCCTTTTCATGGAAGAAGATCCCACATGTTTTAGCTGAGACTATATTTATGCATAATTTTTTTTAGCCATGCCTAATCTCCAGAGCTCCCTTCCAGCCCTGACAATTCTGGGATTTCGGAGTGAATCACAAATTAAACAGGAATGGCATTGATGAGCTCGGCTGCCAGGGAATGGTGATGTCCAGGGGATCCTGACGTGCTACTGTTGAGGGCAACACTTGACCCTAAATCCCTCTTGCTCTTTGTATGTTACCCAGGGCAGAGGAAGAGCGGAATTCCCCCATCCCACCCTATTTGACTACTTTCCTATTCATTTATCCAGGGAGGAGTGGATTTCCTATTGCTGGGAGTGTCCAAGGCCAGGTTGGTTGGGCTTGGAGCAGCCTGGGAAAGTGGAAGGTGTCCCTGCTTGGGAATGTGTCCCTGCCCATGGCAGGGGTATAACGAGACGAGCTTTAGGGTCAGGGCTGTGGAAGAGGGTTTTTCCCTCCTCTGTTGTCTTGGGAGTGTATGTTCAGGTGTGCAGCTTCATGGAGGAGCATTCAGACAGGTGCCACTGTTGGGTCTTCCTTGCAGATCCCCAGGAAATGGCAGTTTTGGTCAGTTTGGACTACTTGGAATGCAAAAATCATGATTTCTGTATGGGGAAAGAATTGGGTCTGATCTCTTTCTCTCTACCTGAACTTAATCTGCTTCTCATTTCTAATATAAAGACACTACAATTCATTTCTAGTCTCCCAGAAGCTCAAATCTCAACTGTCAGACAGTAGAAAGATCCTCCTGTTGTTTTGATTTTTAAGATTTTTTTTAAAGCCTTCTGGATTACATTCTGTTAGAAAACCTTCCCACACAATTTTCTATAAACAACATATTGTTTTGCATTCCTTCATAGGGGTAGAGAAACTTAATGTACTAATAATTTGTCCAATGTCTTTGGAGAGGTGGCACATTCACTCTCCAATCCACTGTCACCTTTGGAAAAGTATAAAAGTTGCAGTCAGAAAATAAACCCTTCTTCTTTACCTTGCAAAGAGCAGTAGCTCACACTGTGCTTTCACATATCCTATAGCAGCATCCTCCCACTTGAATTTTTGCAACAGTAATATCAAAAGGAAAAACACTGTTATTTATTTCTCCACCTGTGTTTTATGAAGTGGAGAAAAACATGTCAATGGCCACATGAGCTGAAGTGACCACTGAGCCACAGCTCACGCTCAGCCACTTGCCTGAGAGGCCTGGCAGTTTTTAATGCAGTTGTTGCATTTTTCAGTTCACCAAGGAGAAGGGAAGATTTTTGAGTTGCCTCTAAAAAGGCGCAGGATAAAACTTTGGAGGGTGTAGGAGAAGGACACCCCATCACTGACAGCAGAAAGTGAACAACCTGACAGGCATTTTCCGTCTCCAGCTGAAGTGCCATGCATTGGGAGTTGTGCCTTTTGCCTTCATTTTATCTTTTGTGGGCTGAAGAGGCTGTTCATGCTTAAGCTGTGAGTTTAGAGTCTCTCGCTGCCGCGTGAGCTCTCTTTGAAACTCCTCTGGGCAGAAATATGAACCAATCTCAAGAGAAGCAATACAATTAAAGCTTATCACAGCCCTGTCTCTTTAAAGGACCTCAGCACATAATTAAGTCAAAATAAAAGTTTCCTCTCTCTCCTCCCCCCCATTCAATAAAAGTAAATTACCTCCAACTATTTAAGCCCGCTGTTCGTTTAAATTTAAAAAGGGAGCCCTTGTCTATCTATTTCTTTCACTCACTCCCACCTCCTTCTGCTAAAGACTGGCCAGGGCTTTAAACCTGCCAGCTGGGCTGAGAAATGGTTAATAGTTATTGTGGAGGAGCAGCTTTTAATGAACTATTGAAGAATGATACATTGATGGAGTAATGGGAGTTTAAGTCTCTCTGTAATGAAACAGGTTCTCAGCGCCGACCCATTGTGGTGTAAATACGGCACGTCTCTCCCACTGTTTGGTCAGGACTAAATAGCAGAGGCCAGAGGGGGGTCTGCTTATGGGGTCTCCGCTTTAGTTAATCAATCTGATTGGATTAGGGTCACTGCGATCCCTAATAATGTCAAAGGTTACGCCAAACTGGATTAAATGCTTTGTTGGAGAGGGCTCGGATTCTTTCAGCCCCGGCCGGCAGGGCTTGTTTATTAGACTTGAACACTAGTGTGCAGCCTTGGGAAGCCGCTCCGGCCCTTTCTGTGTGTGTTGGGCACACGAGGGGGTGGGAACGAGCCGGGGCAGGGGCGTCCTGTGGCTCTGCACCCATCGGATGTGCCGGACAAATGAGAGCCCAATGGGTGACCAAGGCCTGGGGGTGTAAATTCATTCCGGAAATGATGGTTGGCCGCCGACCCCGCTCTGAGGCAAATGTCGAGAGTCACAGCAGTGGTGGAGTGACCCATTGCTCGTGTCCCTCGGGGTTAATCCTGTCTGTGTCCAGCAAAGCCCTGTCCTTTCACAGAATTCCCAGAACGACCAGACTGGAAGAGACCTTCAAGATCATCGAGTCCAACCCAGCCCCAACACCTCAGCTCAGCCCTGGCACCCAGTGCCACATCCAGGCTCTGTTAAACACACCCAGGGATGGGGACTCCACCTCCTCCCCGGGCAGCCACTCCAGAACTTTATCACCTTTCTGTGAAAAACTTTTTCCTGATATCCAACCTGAGTTTCCCTTGGTGCAGCTCGAGGCTGTGTGCTCTGGTTCTGTCAGTTCCTGGAGAAAGAGCCCAGCCCCAGCTGAGCACAGCCACCTTTCAGGAGCTGTGGGGAGCGCTGAGGTCAGCCCTGAGTCTCCTTTTTTCCTGAGTCTCCTTTCTGGTGCAGCTGCTGTTTGGGCACCCACCAGGCTGAAATATTTCAGACCACTGCATTTGCTATTAATCTCGGGGGGATGTCTTGCCTTCCATCACTTCCATCTCAAATCAAGATGGAATGGGATGGGATCTCCCTGTCATCTTACCCAAAATGA